CAAGAAGCAACTAGGAGCACAGGGCATCGCTACTACTAGTAGGAGCATAGTAGCTCCTGACCTTACTACCAGGAGCAAGAAGCCAGGAGCAAGAGGCTATATGCCTCAAACGCGTCGACTCTGGGCACGCGTCCTCTGCCCATGCGACGGCCCGGTCGACGTACTCCAACGCAGGTCCCATGTAGGGCTCTCTCGGCCTCAAAGTGGACAAGTCAGGGCGGTGCGTTTTCATTATGGATCGTTACCGTTCGAAAAAGCTTAGCGTCTGTCAAGCGCTGCTTTACGGGCATTACCACTAGTAGCCGTAGTGATAGCAGCAGCAGCAGCAGCAGCAGCAGCAGTGAGGGGTAATGAGTTGAGTCAAACACCCAAGGCAATCATGGGACTAAAGGGGCCGAACGTCCTTCTTCTGCGTTCTGCGGACCCAAGCTATGCCAGTTCTTTCGCGGGTTCAACATCTGGATGGTTCCCGCAAGAGACCAACGGCCCGTCAGTTAAAACCAAACACACCCGCCCGGCCCCGGGGCAGTCCTTGGTTGCGAAATGATCCAGTAGCCGAAGGGGAGCCGCACAGCATTCAGCCCATAGCTGCGAACTCGCTCAAAGTCTGCCTCTCCAAAGAAACGGATCACAGAGCTGGCAAATAAAGGAATTGGCAGAAAGAAACTGTCTGTAAAGGTAGACTCTGGTAGACTCTACCAGTCTACCTGATAGAGGGAAGTTGTACTGGCATACATTGGTGTGACACAAGACTCGCAGTCTCGCATAGTGAAGGCACCCGCATTGCGCCCGTGCTCCATCTTCGGCCTTGGTGATATGCGTTTCACGGTGTGACCGGATCACCTCGGCCGCTCCAGCTTTCCCCAGCTTCTCGTAAAGTACTTTCATGAGGTCCCATTCGCAACGAGCCTGGAGAAGCAAGCATTTGAAGCAGAAAAGGCCAAAAACAACAAATCACATCAAATCACCAGATCTTTTCAATGAAGTGAATGGATGTGAATGGCAGAATCGATCAGAAGTGGCCAAGCCTGGCTCTTGTCCTTCAACAAGTGATGCGTAAAAAGAGGGAATGATGGTCCAGGCTCAAGTAGAAGCCAGCCGCCCAAGTTGACACCTTTCAGGAGAAAAGGTATGGCAAACGGACCAGAAGGACAAATTCAGTCTCGTCACAATCCATGCTGCTGGAGTATGAAGGAGGTATGGTATGCTGTTGCATTTCTAGACTAGACTCGACTCGCTGTTTGGATGAATGCAATTATGGTGTAAATAACTGCAGTACTTATCTTTAATTCAAGGTCCAGAAGGTACAGCCCAGCCTTTCCAGGGCTGCGGCAAGACATCTCGCACTTGTGTCATTGCGTCAATGTTGGAGACGTGACGGCTGCGGGAAGTAGCGGAAAGTGAGTCATTCGTCGGCCTTCATTTGGTCAACGGCAAGTGAGACCAAGACAGCAAACCTTGTGAATCAGGGATACTTATTCAAAGAGCTAAGGCAAAGAACAAAAACGACAACACATGCGTGCGTTTGTTTGCAACTCAGCGGATTGGCCAAATGAACAGACAAACGGGCGCAAGACCACCAGGACGATTGTTTTCACCTTGCATCGAAGGCATAAATACGGCTGGGTCAAAACCATGCAAAATCCTGTATTGCAGGGAATATCCAAAAATGAACATAATTTTCTGCCACGGAATCTACACTAGTGCTTGGGGATCTGTGGTTTCGACCCAGTCCCATTTGGCCATGGCAACACAGCCATGGTTTGCTGGTATGCACAATTCTCTCGTGAAGTTTCCCGTTGGAAAAAGCTTCACTCGGCAGGTTACTCATTCATCTGGGGAAACACCCGCTTTGATTCAGAAATATTCAGAAAATCAATGAAGGCACCTGCACAGAATCTCCCAGGAGCACGTCATGGAAGACGTTAGAGAATGTCCAGACAACCGTGTCATTCTAAGTCAAAATTGAAAATCTGACACTGTGCTGTCTCAGCTCAATCGTCTTAGACAAGAGCTGTATCCTACATACTACACGTCCTACATCCTACAAAATCCTACAAGCCTATACAAACTGCACGCTGCACGGATCCTCATGGGATCCTGGCCCGAGGCTTGAAGAGCTTAAGGCCCCGAGTCATACCAGGCATGCCTGTGCGACAGACGCAGCGCAAAAAGTGACTTGACGAATCAACCATATGATGATCTAAAGACCAATAATATGTCCAGTGACAGAAACTAGATGGAGTCTTTCATTGTCGGTTTTTATCTGGTCTTAATTGAATCTCCCGGACTTCTCCCGTCCTGCCGTTGGTCTGCTCAAAGCTTCCAAAGCAAGTTGACCTCACAAACTCCCCCCAGGCAGAGCGGCTTCTGCGATCAAAGGACGTCTGTCTGGGATCCCCTTGCGGTATGCGCTGCGAGGCGTCTCCGATTCTTCATTAAAGTCGCATTGAAGCAGCTGCCCCCAAATCTGCAAGGAATATAGATTAACATGCTGCATCGCGCTGTTGTGCAACACAGGCGAGAATCAGTCAAGCCATTGCAAGTTAGAAAGCATCAGCCATACAAGACACATGACTTGATCCTAACACGAGGAACCGACATCACAGCAGGCCTTGCTGGCATCCGCTGCTGCCAGGAAAGAGGGCCAGGCACATTCGCAGCGTCCCAGGGACTTGGCATCCAAGAAAGACAGGACAAGCTGCACCTGGGAGGATAAAGCGGCCAACGGAAGTAACGTAGCTAACATCATGAACACAAAAGCGATGGCCTCCAACCTAGTAGCGACGGCCCCCAACATCCCCCAACCTGCTAGCGAGGGCCTCCAACCTAGTAGCGAT